TATATTTTTATCCTATTTTAATTGTTATTTAACTTTAATTTTTTATTATATTAATAATTTTTATTGTAATTTATGATAATTTTATTTTTGTTCTTTTATAAAATTATTATTATTAATAAAAATTTATTATATTATAAAAATAATTTTTTATTAAACCTGGTTACATCTTAAACTTTAAATTTATATCTTTAACTGATGAGGATGAATCCAGTTTTTTAAAAACAAAAACAAAAACAAAACTATAATAGTAATAGCATTTAATGGATTTTATAAGAAGAGGAAAAGCATTTTAATACTGAAATTCAAACCATTACTATTTCTCATATTAATTATATATTTTTCTGAGGCTTCACAATTCTTTTGAAATTAACCTTAACCAAAATAAAGCATTGAAGTTAAAAAAATGGTTGCATATATGATAATTAATGGATATTAATTAATGAATAACAGAGGTGTATTCATGAAAAAAGAAGAAGAAGTGAGAATTAGGTAAACTGGTCATTGCGTAGTTGTTATTTGGGTGAAGAATGTTGATTTGGTACATAGAAGCTTCTATTTATCTATTATTGAGGTAACTTAACGAAAGCACTATACCTTATATGATAATATAAATCAACAACAATATGAAAAAAAAAAAGAACAATAATTTAAATAATATTTGTGGTTATGATTTGTTCAAATGGACAGAGAAAAGAAGAAGTGAAAGATTTTGTGGCATGGAATCGATACTATTCTCTGTGGGTAGCTTTTACGAAGATAAATGGAGTTCTTTTATGCTTTTTCCGAGGCAGGAAATGACGAACACAGAATTTAAATGTCATAAAAGCTTTGGGCCAAAACATGCATTTGATGCTTGATAGATGATAGATACCGAAAAGTTCCCTACACCTATATACGTAGTTATTACAAGTAATGTTCAATACTATACTATGTAGGTATTAAATGTTTCTCTTTACATAGCATAAATGTCTTCACGTGTTTGGTTTGTTGGATGAGGTATGTATGCTAAATAGAGTTATCAATTTCTATTATGTGTTTGATTGAGTCTTTCAACCTTTTACAAGGGTTGATAATAGTAAAGTTCATTAGGGTTAAAGAAAACCCTAAACCACTACCAATTTCATGTTCAAAGACAATGCTTGTCGAATGATGTTTCTTTCAAGTTTTTATGTATGTTTGCAATATTTAGTCAACCCATCAAGTCTTTATGAGGGAACTAAAAAAAGTAGGTGCACCAACTATGGAGCAAGATATCTATTTTAAATCAAATGCACCCAACAAAGCTTCATGTGACACAGACACTTGCATTTTTGGACCATGCTTGGTTCTCTTAGTTCAACCAAACTCTCTGTTGTTTTTAGAAGTGGTGGAAGAATTTCAAAATACATTTTCATTCATTTTTATATTATTGTTTTTTTAATTATGTATTAGAAATAATAAAAAAAACATTTTATATATCTTCATCTTAACTTTTTATATTTAGTTTCTATCCTTAAATTTTAACATGTCTTATTATATCCTTAAATTAAATTATTACGTGAGAAAATATTTGTTTATTTATATTTTTCAAGACGAGGAAGTATAAGGAAAGATCCTTCTCAAAAGATATAATGAAATTTAATTTATTATAGACACAATAATATTATAATATATAATTTAATTTTATAAAGTTAAATTAGATTATTTTTTATTTTTAAAATGATATCATATTCATTTAATAATTTGGAACATGATAAATCACTTCAAAATAGAAAATAAAAAAAAATCTTCTAAAAAAACGTGTTTTATGATTGAATTGTATAACTTTATATTTTAAGAGTTTATTACATTAATATGATAAACTAACTAATGATAAAAAAAATATCACTTTATAATATGAATTAATATTAATAGGAATTAAAATTAAACTTTTTAATTATCGATCTAAAGTAAAGTTCAGAGGAAATGTAAAAATTACTAATAAGATATGATCTAATTAACTCATTTATTTCATTTAGTTTAATTATATCAAAATTCGGTCAACTCTATCAGATTCAAACCCAATCACCAAATTTTTTTTTTTTCATGAAAAGTTAGTGTAAAGCAATATAATTTTGATTATTTTAAATTTATATAGAGTGAAAGTCAATCAATTCAGTTTCTATATATTTATATTCAAAATAGGCATTGCATAGCTGTGCCCAATTGGGTCTGAAGTCAAAGAGGGCTTGAGATTCATTTTGCTTCAAAGTTTGTATTTTTAGATCTAAAAGACATTTTTTTAGGAGTGATTACTAGAATAGAGTAATAATGAATTAATTAAGAAAATAAGTATTTATATAAAAACAAACGAGTTTTATAATTGGAAGAGCACATGCAAAATGAGATTCTTGCATACAAGTGCTTAATTATTAGCAAAAATAATTATATAAATGTTGAGAAATTTGACAAATGTGTATATTAATGAAATGAGTCTATAACTGTTAATTCTATCAACACAGGAACACAATCAAGTGATGTAAAGTTTGGATGAGTAGTCAGATTTAGAACTCACTAAACCTTCCATAATACACTTAATTAAGCATTAATCCAGTTTTTTTATCCAATATTTATATTTATCATCAACCACTTAATTATCAAAAATTTAATCCTATGTAATTGAATTCTCAATTTCCTGTAAAATCCAATTAACTAGTCAACTCTAGGGATAAAATATCAAAGATGCTCAATTAAGGTTAATAATATTAGTTTGGAGTGTTTTTTCTATTAAAATTGAATGACAATATATTTTAGAAAAATGAGTAAGGTGTATGTTTATATAAGCAGTGGACATTAAAAGGTTATACATCTTAATAAAAACTTAATAAACTACATTAATAATTTTTTTAATTATTATCTTACTTTTTTACAATAATTATACAATTGTTACAAATAATGTATGAAAAAAAAACTTTAAATATAAGGAACGAGGAGATTATAAATAAAATTGTTCTAAAGAATTTTTGTTTTGTTTTTAATATGCATGAGAAAACTTTAAATATAAATTATTTTGAAATGAAGACACTTTGTTCATCCTAATTATAAGAAATTATTTAGATCTAAACCTTAATTTTTTATAAAATTTATCAATTTAGCTATTAAAAAAAGTCTAATAATGAGACACTAAATTATGCGGTTATTATACAATCAAAAGTATATATCTTTATCACTAACAAAAAATAATTTTTGTTCTAAACCCTTTTGTTTATAAGATTTGACTTTAATAATTTATTACTTCTCCAATAAGATTAATGATGTGTTAGGATATATAATTTCGTAATTTTAAAAAATTAAAATTTATTGAATTAAGTTTTTATTTAATATAATTTATTTTAAAATATTTTATTTGGATAAGACAAATTAAATTTATAGAATTTTGTTTCATCTTTTGAGTATAATATTTCAATTATTAATAAAAATAAAAAAAATTAATATTAAATTATGTTTAATAATTCAACAATATAAAACATTTTATCAAAAATATTTTTTAAATGAAATCTCTGAAGTTTTTCTCAATTATTATCGACAGAGATTTTTCTCGATTGTTGAACATCAAAATTATTTCAAGTTAAGATCAACCACGAAGACTTTTTTTTTTTAATCCAGGCCATAGTATTTTTTACTAACATTGAATATAGTATATTGATCGATTTGAAGAAAGCTTAAAAAGTAAAAGTATTTACAAAATATAAAAAATTTCAAATTCTTAAAAAATGAAATTACAATTTACACATTTTCTTACCCCTTATTATAAGATTGTAACATGTTCTTATCTCATTTTGTAAACCAAGAAAAAGAAAATACTATGTTGGTTGTCTTACTCTAGAACTATTATTGTCGCCTGTTCTCTGGCATTGAGGTTCTTTCCCTCCTTAGAACATTCCATTCTCGTTGCTGCTCATTACATGTTCATATTTAATTTGAGTGATGCTCCAAAAATAAAATAAAGAAAGTAGCAGAAGGTGTTCATTCTGTCTCTGACACGAGAATGCCACGAAAACAAATCACCAAATTGGAATGGTTTCAGCTTTAATTTTCCCTTAACTTGAACCCTTCTTCGCAGATCTCAAGTCACTTATTGGCAACAAAGACCGACCCACCATGGAAAAACTAAAGATATAAAAATCCAAAGCAGAAAAAGACAATTTTCCTGAGGCTAACAAAAGGAGGTCAAACTTCAAAGGCTAAATGCATACACACTCACAGTTTGAGTTCCTTAACTCCTTCCTTGCCACATTCCCCTTCTCATATGAAATGGATACATCCTAGTTTTTTTTTTTTTTTTGGATCAATAAGGACAGGCTGGAAGGATCCAAAACCAACCCCACTTACCATTATTATTATTATTATCAGGAAGAAACCAACACAACACTACCCTCTCCAATAAAGTGTATTTCTGTACACAAAACTCTTCAGTCTCTTAATCAAGGTTGCAGCAGCAGCAGAAAATTAACTAAAAAATTTAAAAATAAAGAGCCCTACAAAAAGCAAAAAAAAGGAGGAGGATTGATTTCTTTCTTTCCTTTTCTTTTTCCTTGCAGACTCTGCTAAGCATCTTTGCCTCCTCACTTTTCCATTCTTTTATCTCCCTTCCCTCTCCTTCATTCCTCTTGGAATTTCCTCTTTTCTTAGCTAGATTATCTTGGTTTGAGTTCTATTTCCAACATGCCATTATATATTGCTATTTCTTCTCCCATAAATTGCCTCTTCTTTAGGTGAATTCTTGCAGGTTTTCGTTCTCTTACACACAAAAGCCTTCTTCCTTTTCTCTAAATTTTCTCAATATTTTACTCTCCCAAATTCAAACCTTCCCTCTCTCATTACAAATCTGTATGCCCTGATCTCCTTTCAGGGTCCCATTGTTCACCCCAGAAAAGGCCAGAAAACAAATTCAAGTTTTGGAACTTCCCCTGATCTTAAAATCTGAACTTTTTGTTTCTTTTGTCGAGTGTTTTGAATTCTGCTTCTGGGTTTTTGTTTTCATGGGGCTGTGTCATGGAAAACCCGTTGAAACCTCACAAAGTGAAGATGGGCACCACGTTTTCCCCGGCGAGAAAGAGGTGGTGGTGGGAGCGAGTCCCAAAACATCCACTAAAGGTTCAAAGTTTCCGTTTTACAGCCCAAGCCCGTTGCCGAGTCTGTTTAAGAACTCGCCGGCGAACTCAAGTGTGAGTTCGACCCCTCTGCGGCTCTTCAAGCGGCCCTTTCCGCCTCCGTCGCCGGCGAAGCACATTCGGGCCTTGCTGGCCCGCCGCCACGGCTCCGTCAAGCCCAATGAGGCCTCCATCCCCGAAGGGAGTGAGTGTGAGGTTGGGCTCGACAAGAGCTTCGGCTTCTCTAACCACTTTCATGCTCACTATGAGCTTGGGCCCGAGGTGGGCCGTGGCCACTTTGGCTACACTTGCTCTGCCAAGGGAAGAAAAGGCACCTTCAAGGGCCATGATGTTGCTGTCAAAGTCATTCCAAAGTCCAAGGTTGATTTTCATCAGTTTTTGTTTGAGTTTATTTGTTTTAAATTGGTTGTTGTGTGTTAGTTACAGGTGATTCATGATTGGCCTTTGTGTGGTCTTATGAAACCTTGGAAGTAGTAAGAGATGTAACTTTTAGGAGTTTAGTCACTTGGTGGGGGAATCCAAGTTTTCAAATGTGGTCACATTTTTGTCTGCGATCCTTGCCATTCTGGTATTGTAGGAAATTGTGGACAATGGAACCAATGTGACTACAATTGCGGTTATAGAGACTCTAAAACCTTGATGTTGTGGCTAAAATTGTTGTCACTGATCGTTTTCTAAAACCTTGGGTGTATCACTTCTCTCTGATGATGGATTTTGTTGGTATTGCGTGTTGTGTGAAACTTTGTGGGTATGCCTGTTCTGTGATTTTGTTACTATTGGGAGAATACATGTTAGTTTGGGGAATCCATGTTTAGATTTTAGTTGGGAAAATTCAGAAACCTTGGATATATGATTGTGATATTTCAGTGGATTCTAGCAGCCAGTAGGCGTCTATCTTTTGTTTTCCTATTAAGTAACATTGTTTCTATAAAAGGACGTACCTTTCATGGATTTGTTTTTATTCCAGTAACATTGTTTGGATCAGTGTTCTTTGTTGTTGGTTATGAAAACAGTAATTTCTTCTTCGTTCTTATGAAAGTCGGGGATGTTTGGCAGATGACAACAGCAATTGCCATAGAGGATGTAAGGAGAGAAGTAAAGATATTGCGAGCTCTGACTGGGCACAAGAACCTGGTGCAATTTTATGAAGCCTATGAAGACAATGATAATGTTTATATAGTAATGGAGTAAGTTCATATTGCAAGTTGTTTTTTTTTTTTTTTTTTTTTTTTTTTTTTTTATTGTATAGACTATCCTCAAAATCTTTGATGGTACTGATAAATTAGGGATATAATTCCGAGTTGAATGATCTTAATGGAGAAAGGCAGAACTTTCATATATACATTCATTTTTTTAATATAAATTTGACCTATAACTTTGTTATATATCTTGGTTATACTTTCTTGTAACTATGACTGTAATGCTGATTGATTGTAAATATCGTATTAGTTGGGATTGAAAGCTGTTAATTAACTCCACAGATTAGTATCTCATGTCTACTGTATCATATGCTATTCAGGTTATGCAAAGGAGGTGAACTGCTAGATAAGATTCTTTCCAGGTAACATTTTTCTCCAACTTCTATTTTTCTGTGCCGCAAAAATGGATTAAACTTATAATAGGAATTCTGGTCTTCTTATTTTACTGCTGCCATTATGGAATACACTCTTATTAACACAGTAATTCTGATCTATAGGGGTGGAAAGTACTCTGAAGAAGATGCCAGAATTGTTATGCTTCAGATATTAAGTGTGGTAGCTTTCTGTCATCTGCAGGGTGTTGTTCACCGTGATCTCAAGCCAGAGGTAACTAGCTCATAAAACTAACTAGTATTTAGCTGGGAAAATTAATCAGGATAATTTTTTGCCTTTTGGTTCTAATAGATTATAGAATGAAGCTGTTACACTCTGATATAGAATTTACCTGTTTAATGATGCACATTTTATTCTAGTTTAATAGTGATCTTCTCTACACTCTGATGTAGTTCCTTACCCAGAATTATTCTTTCATTTTGGCATTGTATACTGTTTTCCTCCTTACCAAGAAAGCTGATTTTCTGCTGCAGAATTTTCTTTATATTTCTAAGGAGGAAAATTCCACTCTGAAGGTCATTGATTTTGGACTCTCTGACTATGTGAAGCCTGGTCTGACCTATTGCATGTCTATTTTCTATGATTTTGTTTAAAAAAATAAAAATCAGGGCTAATAGTAAAATATTTTTGCAGATGAAAGGTTGAATGATATTGTTGGAAGTGCATATTATGTAGCTCCTGAAGTTTTGCACAGATCTTATGGGACAGAAGCAGATATGTGGAGCATTGGTGTAATTGCTTACATTCTTTTATGTGGAAGCCGACCATTTTGGGCCAGGACAGAGTCTGGCATATTTCGGGCTGTCCTGAAGGCAGATCCAAGTTTTGATGAAGCTCCTTGGCCATCTTTATCAGCTGATGCAATTGATTTTGTAAAGAGACTCTTGAATAAAGATTATCGTAAAAGGCTAACTGCAGCTCAGGCTCTCAGTATGTGCTCCATTTCTCATAGGTTGTGTGTGGCAGTAAATTCTGCATTTTATAATCCCATGAATCCTGTTGCTCATAGCTTGATTTTATGCACAGGTCATCCATGGCTCTCGAGTCATTGCGATGATGTGAAGATACCTTTTGATATGATAATCCACAAGCTTGTTAAAGCTTATATATGCTCATCTTCATTGCGCAAATCGGCATTAGGGGTATGTAATATTGCCTGTGTTTTACCCCTTCCTTGTTATATCTGGATATTGAGTTTGGATATTTCTTCTTAACTGTGATGCATGGTTATGTTTACAGCAGTATATTGGATACGACACAAATGACAATTTAAAACAACAAAATTACGAAGGGATGACTATATGTTAAATAAAATATAAAATTATAATATATATTGTTTTTAGTAATTCATTTTTCCTGATTTATTGATTTTTCTTAATATTGCTTATATTTATAATGGTTTTCTGTCATCATGTTATTGCTGGTCTTTTGTCTATTGAAAGTTCTATTAAAAAAGTATAACCACAATAAAATTTAAATAAAATGTTATATTCAAATTATGATAATGGCCCCTTTATCATGCAAGGAAAAAATGTACAATAAAAGATTTTACTGTAAGACAGTCAAGTTTTGATACAGATGCAGTCATATCATAATATGGGTATGATATGAATATTTTGCCAGTTTTGAAGTGTCTGTTCATAGCTTCTTAATCTATTATTAGATTCTCTACTATGTCAACTGGGTAATCACTAATCACCTTCCTTATTTTCACATTCTTTTTCTTTTCTCTGTCAATCATAACTGCAATTCCTGTAACAGGTGTAGTTGTGTAACCATTAATTTGGTCAGTTAAGCTTTTAAAATTAATCATGCATGTTCATTTAGAATTTAGCTTCCAACTTTGGGTTGTCTATGGTAATTGGTGGCCGAAAATGAATTCACCTGCAAATATGATATACTGGCAATGGAAAGTGGACCCAAAAGAAAGGAGACAATTTTTAATTGTTAAATTTTTATATAATAATGAAAGCGAGAGAATCTTAGAGAGCTAATCTGGTTGATCTATTAACATGAGAACAAGAACTTGCATTTTATAAATTATGTAATTTACTGACAAGTTGAGCAGAAGTAGGAGAGTTTTGTGTACTTGCTTGTCATTATGCGTAAACTTCAGTGATACTTGTTGAATACATGAATATGTTTTGATCAGTTTTGTCATTTTGGCAGGCTCTTGCAAAGACGTTAACATTAGTGCAGCTAGCATATCTGAGAGAACAATTCAACATGTTAGGGCCAAACAAAAGTGGGTTAATCTCCATGCAGAACTTCAAGACGGTCAGCAACACATGTCAAAAGCTGTTGTGTACTTTTTTCTCCAAATAACTTTGAAGCCACTAACACATTTACATTAACAGGGTATTTTAAGGAGTGTCACTGATGCCTCAAAGGATTCAAGGGTTTTAGATTATGTGAACATGGTAAGTTTATGAGGGACTGTTTTTCATATCAGTTACTAACATAGTTGCTTCCCTTGGAAATTGAATTGTTACTATTATATTGCAGGTTAGTTCAATCCAATATCGGAAATTAGATTTTGAGGAATTTTGTGCCGCTGCTATAAGTGTCCATCAACTAGAGGGAATGGATAGCTGGGAGCAACATGCAAGGCGTGCCTACGAGTTGTTTGAAAAGGAAGGAAATAGACCAATTATGATTGAAGAGCTTGCCTCGGTACACCATTTTGTCTATTATTAACCACCACTACATTTCAGATTATGATTTTCATATCTGTAGAGAATCAGAACCAATGAACTAGTATTCTCTTTTCCTATTTTGATTAACACGAAAATCAGATTCTTGATGAGCAATATGCTGTCTCTACCACATGTATAATGGTTCTAAGCTTTTGCTATTTGATTTGTTTCAGGAACTTGGGCTTAGCCCTTCAGTACCAATTCATGTGGTACTCCAAGATTGGATAAGACACTCAGATGGGAAGCTTAGCTTCTTGGGGTTTGTTAGGCTCCTGCATGGAGTTTCTTCTCGCACATTTCAGAAGGCTTGAGAGAAAACACACATGACTGGTCTTATTTTTTTGTCACCCTTATTGATCATAAACCTTTTGAATGCATGGCTCGTGAGCAAACTCCAACAGCAGCAGGTTTCTTCATCATGGTTGCAAACATGACTTCAGCAAAGGCAAAAGCTATAGCTAGAAGGGAAGTGCTATGCAACATCTCCCTTTGTTAAGTTCCCTCTTGATGCGTTCTAAAACCACACAACACTTTGCTCCATCCTGGTTGTAGTCCTTCACATTGATTGGTGGTGCTGGAGTTAAGGCTTGTACAGATGAAAGTAGAGCACAGGTTGTACTTAAAAAGTAGTGGAACTTCCATAAAGTGAGTTGTGTTTTGGGGTTTATCCTTGTGTACCCTCACACTTGTCAATAAACTATTTCTACTTATATGAACTCCTTTTTATTTCACATCTTTTTTCTCTTCTCAAAACAGCAAAATCTTCCAGAAATACTAATGCATTCTCTTAGACACATTGAAATTTATTAAAAATGGTATATTTTTTATGAGGGTTATGTTTTATTTCATGATTTTTTTTTTAGATTTTAGTAAATTTTAACTTACACTATCTTATCTATTAAAAAAATGTATTAGATGGTGTGATGTTAACATTTGTCTTAAATTATTAATCCTCAATATAAAAAGAGTAACGAATAAAAGTAAATAAATGATAAATGTTTTGGAAAATGATGAGATTTTTTAAATTAATAATTTGTCTTTATATCTTAAAATATTAAAACTGTGCATTCTGTTTATATATATTTTTTTCATACTTTTTCTATCCTGCAAGTACAAGTAGTTATTGAAAATTTCTCGTGACAAGTGTATTATCCTTGTTTACTCTTTTTAGATAAGGTAAAATCATATATTATTTTTATATAAGATATAATTTTTTTATTTAGAACTTTCTATCACATAAAAAATAAGTTTACTTTAATTATTAGCTTTGAAAATTTCTACATTATTTCATTTATTTTAATCATTCAACTATTTAATATTTATTTTATTATTTCATATAGATAAATAAATATTTCCTTTACCTTATACTTTTTTTTAAAACTAGTAACAAACATATTGTAAATATTATGATGTATTATATTTTTACTTTGTTCTAAATTTTACCAAAAATATTTTAAGATAAAATATAAAATGCACATTAGAATACACAATATGACAATTAAACTTGTACTCATGATGATTGATTTGTTCTCGTCCCGAGTTTAATGAGAAAAAATCGAGTTGACTCGTGGTGGGAGCATATTCGGGTTTTCCCTGTTTTAAAAAGTCGGGGTGGGGATGAGTAATGCAATCCCCACCCTGGCTCCGTCCCCGTTCCCGTCCCGACTTTATATTTAAATTTAAATTTTAGAAGTATTTCATTTTCTTTTTCTATTACATATAAGGTTATTTTTTTATATTTCACCTCCTACCCACTTTTTAATTCTTTTATCTTTTTTAATCTTTGATATCAAAGAATTTATTATATTATTCTCTTTCTTTTACCTTTCAGCTTTTTCACATTTTTTTAATCTCTCTAATCAATTTATTTATTTTTCAATCTTTTCAACCAATTTGATGAACGTAAGGTTAATTTTTTTTTCTTCTTTATCTTTTTTCTAAATATTTTACATAAATCTTAGTAGTAACTAATATTATTTTATTTATAATTTATATTTATTAGGTTTTATTATGTTATATTTTTTAGATCTTATTATTATTATTTGTCATATATCAAATTTTATCTTAATAAAATAATTATATTTTAAAGGATTAAAAAGAATTAATAATTTAAAATTTTATTACTTGGAACTAATGAAATAAGAATTAACTTATTAAATATTTCCTTATAAATTATATATTTCATATTTTTAAATGAGAACTTAAAAATGAATTAACTTATATATATAATTAAATATTTGAATACAATATTATAATAATAATAATAATAATAATTTATAAGTATTCAAATGTTTGAATATAGTATTATAATAATAATAATAATGTTACAAATATTCTATATTTGTATAAAGAAAAAATGATTAAATATTTCTTTTACATACATATTTTAATATAAATATAATAAATTAAAATATATATTTAATTAATAATAAATTACAAATTGTAAAATTATAAATATTTATTTATGTATAAAAAATATATAAAAATAGCAAAATTAATTTATCATAAATATAATTTTTTTTAAAATAATATAGGTCGTGGACGGGTCGGAAATAGAAAAACTCGAAACTCAACAGAGGCAAAGATTTAATTTCTAACCTCAACGAGAACGAGAACAAGTTAAAAAGTCGAGACGAAGATCGGGAAGTAAAACCTACCCCTACTCCGCCTCGTTGTTATGCTTACAAGTAAACAATAGATAATTAGAATTAAAAATATAAATAAATAATTGATTTATAAATAAAAATTACAAGAGATTAAAATTAATTAAAAAAATACAATTACAAATACTCCAAAAAATATTGTTATCAATAAAATTAAATTAACTTTATATAAAATTATCATATTTACATGTTTCATTTTATCCACTTCAACAAATAATTTTATGAAATATTTATAATTTAAGAAACTAGTTTAACTACTTACAAGTTACAATTACTTAATTACCAATTTTGAAGCTAGATTTGGGGAGAAATATAATATTTAGTTTTGCCTCTGCTAAAAGTTTAAGTAAAATATAAATATTAATAATTATTTGATAACAAATGTTTTTTTTCTAATCTCTTATTAACTATAAATGTTTTTTTAGCACATTCCCTGTAAATGCCAAAAAGTAGCGTTTACATCAAATTGAAAACTTTATATTAAGTTCACATATTAAGCTATGAAATTCAAACATGTCATTGCATAAATTTTAATCAAAATCAGTTTTTTAAACAATATGTTTTGATAAAAATTACAACCATTTTTTTAGAATTTCCAATTTAAATTCTTGGGTTTAAAAAAACTTAAAGAAATTTATTATTTAAAACCAAAAGTATTTATAAACTTCAAATAAACGCAAACACACATTTACTTTTTTTGTATATATATATATATATATATATATATATATATATATATATATATATATATATATATATATATATATATATCCACCTTATAAATGACCATGTGACGGATTAAGATATTTTTATGCAGTAACTGCGAGTAAAAATATTATTACAAAATATTACTGATAATTGTAAGATGTAGTTTTTGTATGAGTTTATTATAATGGAAAACGGAAGATTTTCATTTTTTAAAATGAAAGTTATTATTCTTTAATACACTGATATAATCACATTAAACCTTGAAATACAATGAGTAAAAAAATTATACATATAAAACAATCCTATTTTTTAAAATTAAAGAATCCAATACTTTTAAAATAATATAAGTCATTTAATCAGGTAAAACATGAATTTAAAAGTTAACAGTTGAATCAGATTTAATAATATAATATTTTTATGATATAAAATAAATATATAATAAATTTATTAGTTTAAAAATTTTATAAAAAAAATAAAAATAAAAAATATTTTATATTATGATAAAAATTATAAATATAAAATATATTAAAAAATGTAATATGAATAATTATTAAAATAAAATGAAAATATAATAAAATAATTATTATTTAAAATTGACATAAATAATATAAAATAAAGTTAAAAAATATTATATTTTAAAAAAATTATATTAATAAAAAATTCTAACTTTTTTTTCAACTAGAATCCAAAAATTAATTGATTTTCTTAATTTTATTTTATCCTAATTTAATTATTTAAAAATAATAGATGAATTTCTAATTCGAGATTCAACCCATTAAACCAACTTATTCAATCTAATTTTTTAAATAATTTCCAAAAATTAAACCGACCAATGCGATTAAATTTTAAAAACAGTGTACACCTGATATTCAAAATGCAAGGAGAGTAGGGTATATGCTGTGATAAGTATTGCAAGTTCAACACACTTTTGAAAAAGCAACTCTGAAATAAGCATATCCTAAATTTGATTGTTGAAAAGAATATTTAATATGAGATAAAATTTTAAAACAAACTTGAATACTTGATGATTGAAGCATGTTGGAAGATAATCCGATATTATATAAAGAAAAGATAAGATAAGGGTAATAGGATGAGAGATGAGAGGTGAATGTGTCCATAGAAAATGGAGCTTCTTACATGTTGTTCCTACGAGGCAAGGCAATAATAATATATCACACGTTTTGTAGTGAATATATTATTAGAATTTAAGTAGGAGTGCACATCTTACAAGATTAAAAATTCTTGTTTCGTCTAATGTTGTAATCTTCTTGTTAAGCTTTCGTAATGACTCGTTCGATCATGCTTCGACTATTTTCATTTTTGGTTATTTTCATTTTTGGTTTGAAAGTGATGGTTGTGTGGTAGTTCATTTCTTTTTTGAGTAGTAATATTTTGACAACCACGTATCATACAACTCTTCAAATAATTCACTTTTATTAATATAATAATTTATAGATTGATTTAATAAAAATAAAAATAAAATAAAATTATTATTATAATATTAAAACAGAGTTATTTACAGAAGTTGTATGGATTTAGATGGTCAAAGTATTTTTATTTTTATTTTTATAGATTATTATCCACAACTGCATCTTTTACTTTTACGTGAATTCAATCAACAACTCATCATTTTTTATGTCTGGTATTTACAAAGGTAAATATTATAATACTTTTATGTGTATTCGATCAACAACTCATCATTTTCTATGTCTGGTATTTACAAAAGGTAAATATTATAATATTTTCAACTTGACTGGATGATACATATAAAAAAATATTATTTTTAACTTAAAAGATTAAAATATTAAATTATATTTGTTTATTTATAAATTATTAAATTTTTTATTTTTATTTAATATAAAATTTTAACTTTATCTGAATTCTCAACATTCATATTCTAATTAATTCTTTCCTCACGTGAAAACATAACAATTTAATAT